TGTATATATAAGTTTATTATTATACATTATATATTAATTGATATATATTAATAAATTATATATATAGTGTATATATAATTTTATTTTTGGGAAAAATGCTTGAAACTGCTGACTCTAGGCAGGTAGAAATGAACCTCTGTGCTGAGGACTCAGGTCAAGGTGTGTGTTGAGTCTGATGACCTAACTCAGCAGCTATGGTTTAAAGGAATTCCTTGGAATGGAGTGCTTCTTATCTGTGTTAAAAGAAAATCATATGTTTAGACAATTGATAATGTTTGCCCAGTGTGGGTGGAGATTCTTAGCCGGCAGTCAGTGTGTGTGGGCAACAATTACATCGATGAAAGAGGCGCAGCTCCTTCCGTGGAGAGCTTAGCGAACTGTGCAGACAGAAGAGGCACACTAGAAAGAGGCTTAAGATCCTTACAAAGATTGTTACAACGACTGTGACCCAGACCCATCTATTTCCAGAAAGTGTGGTCTTGATCCCATAGTTGAAACAAACTATGCTGAAGTTTGGGTATATCTCCTGAGAGAACATCACAGTATATCCCAAAGTATGTAGCGATGTCATAGCTCTCCTGAGCACCAAGGTGTCATCTCACAAGTCAGATCTGGAGGTGGTTGGAGTGGCAGGTCAGGGTATTTTAATAAGTACTAAATGGCAGTTCACTCGTTCCAAGGTGTTTACTGAGCACCTACTATGTGTTAGACACAGTGCTAGGGGCCTCAAGTTACTTATGATTGGAAAGGGGATATGACAGGTACATACATTGCTGAAATAGAATGGACACAGATTCGCGCCTCGTGGGAGGTACATACAACATGCTGAGGGAGTTCAGAAGAAAGGGGACTACTCGTAGATGAGAACCCTGGTGAAGGTGTCAATGGCAGGTGGATCTTGCAGAACAAACAGGACTTGGACACTTTGGAGACAGTCATGGCCCTAGCACTGAGTCCAGATAAGTATTTGGTTCTGGAGTTTTGGTTTCCTGTCTTTGTGTATTAGATTCACAGCCAGAACTCCAAATTGGTAACTCAAACATGGGGCTTGGTTGAAACTTCACTCAGTATCTTCCCCCATTCAACATTCTCCCTGTCTACCCCTCAGTAGCATTTCCCGGGTTATTTTACTATTAGTTCACTCACTCAAAAGCCATTTCTTCTCATGGGAATGAATGAACAAATGGTGTCTATTTTCCCAATTCTTTTGCATCCTCCTTATACACAAGGACAGTTGTTGCTCAAGCTCACAAGATTATGGGCTTTTTACAGACGTGGCGTAGCTCTGATTGATAGTCACGGTGTTTTATGCTTTTGCACCACTTGTTCATAGGATGGTCCTGTAAGTACTACTTCTACATACCTTTGCTGATGTCCCTTCTCGGTCTCCATCAGTTCTCTGGCCCAGCAGGTTGCCTCCTGTTCCCCATGGCAGTTTTCCATCTGGATTGTTTGTAATCATCAACACCTCCACATGCCACTGGGGCTAAACCAGCTGCCTGCATTTCCTTAGACTCAACCAATTATGTATTTAGAACCTTGGACACAATTACAAAACATTCTTTTTAAAAAAATCCAGGTAGCACTTGTTATCTGTGATACAGCATTATGTGCTACTTTTTCTGAAGAGCATAAAATCCATATTTTTATTTTTAAAAAATCTACTTTTATGCAGCACCCAAATGTAATTCCTCTTAAAGCTTCTTAGGATCCCAGATGAAAGATGCTACTGCAGTGTAAAGTTCTAATGTTATTTGTTTCCCTAGTCATCAACGTTAGTTGGTTTCTCCTTTCTTGAAACCTATTTATCATTTGCATAAATAAAGAATTTGGGGAGCTGCCTGCATTAGACCATCTCCCGTCCTTTTAGTGTCCTTGGCGTTCATTGCACTTTCCTGGTGAGTCTAGCTGAGACATTGATGCAGTGGCCTCCTGTTTTAATACCAAGGGAAGGTCTGTGATGTTACCTATTGCTACTGGGATGAGAGCTGACAGTTATTTTTCTTGTTTTCCTGCTATGTAGAACACTATCTTCTTTTGTACCGGAGTGACCAGACTTTGCTCCTGATGTCAGTATTCATTCGCAAACATTTATTGTTGCCTCCTGTGGTGCTAGACACGGTACTAGGCTCTGGTACAGCAAAGCAATTTCTGGGTCCTTAACCTCTGCAAAAGCCAGCCCAGATTGTGTCTCCTGAGAGAAGCTGCACCTGGCGTGTTTGCTCCCACCCACCTGCCTGATTGGCATGTTTGCTCCCACCCACCCGCCTGATGTCGTGTGGCGCATTGACGCTCAGGTAGCTCCCATGAGCCTGTCTGCTGCTGTTCTTGTCCTTGTGTAATTCCCTCGCCTCGAATGGGAAGAACCCGTGACCAGCTTAACCAATAAAAGATGGCAAAGGTGATGGGATGTCGCTCCATGGTCAGGTTATGGAAGATTGTGATGTCTGTCTTGTCTCTCTCTTGTTGGCTCTGAGGAAGCAAGCAGCCATGTTGGGGAGGCACATGTGGCCAGGAGCTGAGGGTGGCCACCGGCTGGCAGCCAGCAAGAAATTGAGGCCCTCAGTCCAATACCCAACAAGGAACTGGGTGCTGCCAACAACCACGTAAGCGTGGACTCGGATCCTTCCCCAGCTGGGCCTTTGGATGAGGGCCCACCACTGGTCAATACCTTACACAGGACCCACTAAGCCGTGCCCCGACTTCTGACCTGCAGACACTGTGAGGTCATACGTGTGTATTGCTTGAAGCTGCTTAGTTTGTGGGAATATTGTTGCACAACCGTGGAAAACTAATTTATGCAGCTAACTTCCCCCTCTGCTATGGGCTCTGGATATAGAACATGGCTCTATTCCTATATTAGGTAGCATTGTAATCTATTTTTGCATGCCTGGGTTCCCCATACACAATAAGGACCATGGTAATAATAGCTCTAAAGTAGAGTAGAATTGTATATTGTAGCTCTTAAATGTGCAGAAAAGAAAAAAGTAGCTTTCCATTATTTCCTCTAAGTACACTCATCTCAGTACCAAGGCCCCGACCTGGTACTGAGGGGTTTGGTTTGTGCATCAGGGAGGAGGGGTTACTGAAACTTGCCAACGAAACATAACTCCTCAAATTGTGTCCGGTTGGCTTGGTCTTTAATCAGTCCAATTCAAGGATCAGTTCCCTGTCAGAGATGATTCTCTCCTTTAAAAGCTCCCCCGTCCCCTTTCCTTTCCAAAAGGTATAAGGAAGGCTTACATGTCCTCATGGCAGTGAGGGAGGACGGCTAGTTCACAGGGTGGTCCTGTGCTGTTCTGCACCGACGCTGGCCTCCTCGGCACCTGGGCTGGCCTCCTCGGCATTGTGCACAATTCCACCTGGCCACCGGGCATGCTGCTGGCATCTGCAGGACGTGGAAGTCTGCAGCTGACCTAACTCATGGTCTGTTTCCGGAAGGGGACCCTTTTCCTTACCTCCTTTGGGCAAATTTCCATTTGCTCCGCATACCCACCTTAGCAGCCTAATGTAACTCCAGTTAAACGAGTTGTGAATGGTCTCTGAACTGGGGGTTTGGCCTTGTTTATCGTCACCACTCCCCTTTCTAGGCTTCTTCACAAGTAATGTCAAAACAAGCCCCCGACTTCCTGAGGGTTACTTCTCCCAGCTCTTCCTTTCGGAGTATCAAAACAAACAAACAAAAATCTGGATGTTCCTGCTGTTTCTCTGGAATAGAGTGAGGTCTCTGTGAGTTTTTCTTTCCTTCTGTAACTGGAAAGGAGGCTCGGCTCATCCTTTCACACTGTCCTTCCTGCACACCTTCCTGTGTGTTACCTGGAACTATGTCTAGTGTATTTTCTTTTCTTGTAGTTTCTAAAACTACCTGTACTTGGAAGCTATCATTGGGATCTCTCTTCCATGGAGGACTGGCTGAGTTGCCCGCTGAGAAAACGGACTACAGTGATTCGTGGAATTTAAAAGGTGCTGGGAAGACTTTTGCCCTCCAACCTCCTATCTTGCATCTTCAGTGAGTCAATAGATGCTTCTTAAGCACATTCTGTGTGCTTACTCTCAACTGAAATGTAGTAATGACCAAGGTGGACAAGAGGCTTGCACAGAGCTTGCATTGCAGGGGTGTTTATGGAAAGTGGGGTGTGTGGGGTGATGGAAAAGCAAGCAAGGGGGTCTAGATGGTGCCAAGCGTGATGAACATATGAAAACGGGGCTGCGACAGCACACGATGAGGAGGGTTACTTTACATCAGGAGAGGCCTCTCTGAGGAGGTAACATTGGGCTGACGCTTAAATAATACGAAGAAGCCAGCCGTGTGGCACGCCCAGGCGAGGTCTCCCAGCCAAAGGGAACAACAAGTGCACAGGCCCTGAGGCGAGACAGGTTTGGTCTATTCAGAGAACCGAAAGGAAAACAGTGGGGCTAGAGCCGAAAGGGCAAGAAAGACAGGAGGTGAGATCAGAGAGGCGGTGGGGCCAGATCTTACAGGGCCTGGAGGTCAAGTTGAGAAGTTCAGGTTTTACATCCAGCGCAATGGGAAGTTATCCGAGGAGAGTGCCATGTTAGAACAGATTGTAGAAGGGTAGGCAGGGAATCAGGGACCCGTGGAGAGGACATTTCCAGGCCAGATGTAAGGTGATGATGGCTTAGACAAGGAGGTGGAGAGAAGTGTGTGGGTTTGGGACGTGTTTTGAAGGCAGCGTAGGCAGGCTTACTAATGGGTTCGATGTAGAGGGTGAGTCAAGAGAAGAATCGTGAATACCACCTGGGTCTTTGGCTTGAGTGCCCAAATGGCCGCGGGCTGTTATTTACCAAGGTGCAGGAGGAGGAACTGGTGGTGGGAAAAGAAAATAGAATAATTTTGTTTCGGTCAGCAGGATCAAGCAGGCTGTGAGTCTGGAGCTCGTCTAACTTTATGTCACAGGTTCTAGGTGCAGGGCTCTCTCACGTAGAGTTTACTAGTAGCAGTAACATGATGCTTGGGCATAGGAGACACTTGGTAAATGTTTAATGGACCGGTCTGTCTTCATGAAAATGTAAATATGCCCCAAAGTAATAGCTCATTGTGTGTTGTTAGTCATTCTCACTTTAGTATGAATTTATGTTTGTTTTATAACAGCTATTTGAAAGCTGCTGTTTAAAAAGGGATAATACAAAAAAATAAACTCCTTTGAGTATACAGGCTGATTTTCTGGGAATCCCAGGAGGGAGAGGAAGAAGGCTGAGAAAGAAAAGGCAAGAAGAAGAAATTACAGAAATGTCCTTTTGCGCAGGGAGGCTATAATTTCTTCATTTGCAGACAAAGTAAGTCTCTTTCAAATAGACAATTGCTGCCTGCCTTGTTTTTTTGTTTTTTTTTTTTTTAAAAAACTACTAGTTTTATATAACATTTCTGGTTTAGTCTCTAGTCTAGCAATGATTGCATGATTGTATTATGAGTTTTTATAATGTATGGAATTCCTACCTACAGAGAGTCATAACATGCTTGGCTTGCTTGGGAGCATTGTTGCGTAATAATACAACTAAAACCTGACCAACTAGTCCTCTGTGAGCCAGTAGTGTATGTCTCCATATCACATTTTGAGGAAATAATCACTGATAAGCACAAGAGACCTCACTCAGTGGCAGGTGTTGTTTTCAGCACTCAGCTCTGAGTTCCTGGAGGACCGTAACTGGGCTTTATCTCGAAGATTCTCTGGGGCTGGCCCAGTGGAGACGTAATGAAGCGTCGGGTGAAAAAGGCAGATTTAAAACAAGGCCAATAATAACCAATGAAACTGTTCTTTGGGAGTCAAAACTCAAACAAACCAAAGGCTTCCAGGTTAGGCTTCTGGGTAACTGTCCGCTGGAGCCAGCTCCTCCATGGGCTGAATCGGGTGAAAAAGGCAGATTTAAAATAAGGCCAATAATAATCAATGAAACTGTTCTTTGGGAATCAAAACTCAATCAAACAAACCAAAGGCTTCCAGGTTAGGCTTTTGGTAACTGTCCGCTGGAGCCAGCTCCTCCATGGGCTGAGCACTGCAGTCCCCAAAGGCGCTGATCCTCGCGGCTCCATGACGTCGCTGCTTACACTGCCCGTCACAGAACCCGCCTGCTGGCTCCTGCGCATCCTTCTCGGGGGAGCAATGCCTCCAGTTGGTGAGCACAGGGGTCGGTTCCACCACTGCTGGATTTTTTCCAGCTTCTGGGCCTGCCTGTGCTTCTCTGCCTGTTCTACCGTTGTCCCCACTGGGCCATGCCATTAGGCCCTGCCTGGCCCGCTGGGCTTGCTTATGGCAATCTGAGTGTGTGCAGGTGGACATTCGCTCTTTAGAAACGCCTTGCCCTTTTTAGCATCCTTACTCTTAGTGGCTTGGTGACATTTTTTCTAGCTAATATAGCACTTGTTTATCTAAGTAGCTTCCAAACCCCCTTCGAGACCCCACATTTTCACAGTTTAAAACACTGGATTTTAAGTACGTGGTTTTGCCTCCTTCCCCCACAAGGGGCATTTGACAAATGTCTGGAGGCATTTTTTCTTGTCACAACTGTGTGGCTGCTACTGGCATCTAGTGGGTAGAGGCGAGGATGCTGCTAAACACCCTGCGATGCACCAGACACGACCCCCTGCTCCCCTGCCCCCAGCAAAGCACCAAGGCCAACATGGCGATCGTGCTAAGGTTAGGAAGACGTGGTTTAAAAGCAAGTGAGGGTGCAGGAGGGTATATAGACATTGAATCATAATGGTGTGCACGTGAAGTTTGTATAATGCTACCAACCAATGTTAACTCAACAAAAGCATAAATTGACTTTTAAAAAAAGAAAGAAAAAGGGCCACTATATTTTAAAAATTGCAAAATAATTCATGTTCGTTATGGAAGAAATGGAAAATACAGACATGTTAAAAAGAAAAATGTAAGCCTCTTGAAATCCCAGAAGAGTACCTTTTCAGCTAAGGTTAAATATTTTTTCTTAAAAATAATTTAAGAATAATTCGAATTCTTTCTCATTCCCTGTAAAACTTAGAAGCACAACGTTGATTCCTGCTCATTTGTGAAAGTCAGTGGATTGAAGCAAGTCGGCCTGAGTTTTTATGGGCTAGTAGGAGGGAAAAGCAAAGTTACAAATAAGGACTGAAGCGCTTTCTTTAATGCACTGGACTGATGCCAGGGGTATTTCCAGGTATGAGCCGCCCAGGAAATGCAGAGCAGAGAGTGTGTCCTAGGTGTGGGAACCCTCCCAGCTTCCGCCTTCCCCGTGCTGGGATGTGAACACATTAGCAGTGGATGCAGGGTTCCTTAGGGCCAGGAGGCTGGCTCCTGGCTATTGATAAAACGGAAGCCTTCTAAAATAGTAAGATGTTATAATAACGACCTGAGAAAGGAGAGAAGCGCTTTTGTGGAGTAAAAAACCGAGACAATGTGGCACCCGTGGGGGATCATCATTTCGGCCACGTGGGGATGCGGACAGGAAAGAGGGCTACGTGGGGACTCCGCGCTCCAGCAGCTGGAAAGTCTAGACGTGTGTGAACCCACCAGTGTGGTCACAGTGAGAAGCAAGCCCCCGCGAGCGCCTCCTGCTCCGGGGCGTCTGGAGAAAGCAGAGTATTGAGGGGACCAGACACATCCCAGTTAGGACCTCCTTGAGCTCCCGTCTGTGGCCGGCTCCGTGCGGGGCTGGGCGGCAAGGCCACACGGATGAATCGGGGTTCTGTCTGCGTGGAAGAAGACACAGAGTTCATGGGGTCTGGGGCCTCTTCTTTACTTGCCGAAACAGGAAGTTGCCTGCTCTTGAACCTTTGGGCTGGTGCAGGCATTTTAGAGCTGCTTTTATTCGGGTAGGTTGTAGCCACATGCAGACCTGAGAGAGACTCTAGGCAGAAGCTGTCTGAGGGAATCAAAAGGGCTTTTTGCTCCTGAAGGAAGCTGGAGGGGAGGGTCTGGGCTCCTTAGCCAGTTAAGGGAGTGCTCCAGGGAGGGGGCAGATGCTGATAAGAGCCAGTCAGCAGAAAAGGGCCCAGAAGCTGAGGTCTGAGGTCAAGGGCGGGAAGTGAAACTAGAGCAATAGCTGCTTCAATTAAAACATTAGGTGACATCAGCGTGGTTTGGAACAGGACGTCCTCTCCTTGTAATTTAACCAATGGCTATGTAATTAAACAAATGACTACGGAAAGTCTGAAGCACAAATAAAAGTAAGAAAGACTAGAACAAAGAACCTGATGCACTCATCTCCCAGTTTCACCAATTTTTTAAATAAACTGCCTATTTTGTTTCAGCTCTTCCCCCACCTACCCAACCTGCCAGTCATTTTGAAACAAATTCCAGACATTGGGTCATTTCATTTGTAAATATTTTAATACTAGAGGCCCGGTGCACGAGATTCATGCACTAGGGTGGATCCCTCAGCCCAGTGAGCACCCTCTCGCAGTCCAGGACCCCTCAGGGGATGTCCGACTGATGGCTTAGGCCCGCTCCCCTGGGCCTAAGCCATCAGTCGGACGTCCTTAGTGCTGCTGTGGAGGCAGGAGAGGCTCCCACCACTGCTGTTGCACTTGCCAGCCGTGAGCCCGGCTTCTGGGCTTCTGGCTGAGCCGCACTCCCCCTGTGGGAGTGCACTGACCACCAGGGGCAGCTCCTGCATTGAGTGTCTGCCCCCTGGTGGTCAATGTGCATCATAGCAACTGGTTTTTTTGCCATTTGGTCGATTTGCATATTAGCCTTTTATTATATAGGATGTATCTCTAAAAAGAAATAGTACGTGTTTTGAATTTTACATAGCTGTGGTCTCAATGACTGACCCTGTTGATCGGAAAATATTCCAAAGGGAAGGAAAAGTGCCATCTCCTGAGAAGCCTTTGCTGCACCTTCCCGTGAGGTGGGGCCCTTGTGCTTCCCGAGTGCCCCGTGCACACGTGGTCACTGCCCCCTGTACATCATGTGGAAATTGTGTTGTTGTTGTTTTTTAATTTAATCAATTAATTT